TGTGAGGTTTGGAACAAAACAACTTAATTTTATTTAGGGACAACTAGTTAAAAAAATGTGTTTACCACAAATTCTTCTGGTTCTAAATGAATCAGTCTGAGACTGTGTGCAAAGTGAAACTTAAAACCTGGCTCTTAACCATAAAGTGAGTTACTTTATGAGCTTCCTGATCAGTTTCATGTCACTAAAAGCTAAAACCTGGACCTTGTAATGCTGTCTGACTGTCATTGTTAAATGGTTTCTATGTGCCTGTTATCACTAGTCTGGTTAATCATCAGTCAGAGTGAAACCTGGGAGTGTCAAGGATAAACACCAGTATTCTTTGATTCAACATCGACAGGTATTGTGACTTTGTGACACCCATTTTTCACTGTCAATGCATGAAAACCTCAACAGATTGTTTATATAAATGCTGGGAATTCATTGGTGCTGGTATCTGAAAAAAAGCAATTGTGACTGTTTAGGACGTGATGTCACTGTAAAAAATGAAGTTATACAAAAATAAGTCAACATCTTTTTGTTAATTCACTTTTTTTTTATCCTCAGCTGATAAACATCAGTTCTCCATTTATATGCTGTTTCAAAAATTATCATGAGACTTTACTCACCCAGTCCTGTATATCCTGCCCCTCGGATGGCCTGGCCACGGCCTCATCCCAATGGATGTTAGCTTTTCCATGGCGCCAAATCTTGCTGCGGGTTTTGTAGGCGAAGTAAGCAGAAAACGATAAAGCCACCACCACCAGAAGACCCAACACAAACGCCACTGCCTGAGGAAAGAGTGAACTTTGGATGGATAGATGGATAGATGGATAGATAGATAGATGGATAGATAGATACTTCCTGCTAACCTCCTCGGGGTCCATGTAGCAGTAGTGTTGCAGGTATTGATTGAACAGAGGAAACCCCCCAGGAAAACCGGCCCCCACGCTGCCACTGAGGCTAGGGCTGCCCTGGATGTTCTGACACATCATGAGCATGGGGTTGTACAGCATGCTCTGCGAGCTCTGAGACATCGGGTTCACACCAATAACAAAGATGATGTCAATGATGCCCTAGACGACAAACCGAAAGCAAATTTAATCATAATAAATAAGTGATTTGCCAATGCCACAGATTAAAAACACAGAAGTCTCATGTAGTTTCTACTTACACTAAAAAGTTGGCTCAAACATTTAATTTAGCATCATTTCTGAACACAAAAGGCTGCAATTCAGTTTCAGGTCAAAACTGACTGATCAGAAGAGGATCCCACTGATAAGCCCACAGAGAACACAGAACCACTGTACTGTGTTCCCCCTCTGAGTGGGGTCCTTCTGCATGGAGTCAGCATGTTATCCTGTATCTGTGCGGGTTCTCTTTGGCTACTCTGGCTTCTTCCTACTATTCAAAGATATGCAGCGTGTTAGGTTAGCTGGTGATTTTAATCTAGCCGAAGGTATGCAAGTCAATTAAATGGTTGTCTGTTTCTCATATGCTGTCCCTGCGATAGACTGGTGACCTGTCCAGGGTGTATCCTGTTAGGACAACTGCTTTTGAAGAGCAGAAGAAAAATGAATGGATGGATGATGAGTGCTGATCGAAGGGATTTGATGAAAATGAACAACTGAATATATTTGTGACTTGCTTTGTTTGTTGGGTGAGACAGACTCACCTGAAGGACAGCTAAGATGATATCACAGATGAACACAGTGAGGTAAAACCTGCATGTCCGTATGCTCCGTGACCGTGAGAAACTCGCCACCAAGAACCCCAGTGACACCAGGAAGTTGATGGCGCCCATGGAAATCATTGCTGCCTTCGCAGACTGAGGCGTCATGTAGGAGCCGCCATAGCCGTAGCTACCTCCATAATATCCTGACCCCAACCCTCCAACACTTCCAGCATCAACAACACCATATCCCCCATACCCAAATCTGTTCATGTCCCACACCAAAGTTGACGCTACTAAGGCGAAGATGAGGAAACACATGAGCACCGTGGCTCCTTGGAAGGTCTTGACAAAACCAGGAGGTGAGAACCAGCGGTAGAAGTGTTGAGGCTTCCCCTCCATGTAGTAAGACTCTGGTGGGACATCGTAGGTATAGGGGACATTCTGGCTTCGAGGGGATTGGACACTCCTTGGGGGATACAAGCTGTGGGAGGTAGTGCTGTAGGGTGGGCTGTACACAGGGGGGCTATCATAGTACCGAGGCTCATACATGGTTTACTGGATAATGCTCCAATTTCACCTGGAAGAGGGGTGAAAATGAGACAGAATTAATGCAAGGGTAAATGACTTGAGCCTATATAGATATCAGCACTATAACATAATGCATTTTAATAGCAGATTTTATTACGCTAAGTATTTTAATTCAATTTTTTATAGTGTAAATTCTTCAGTGGGATGTTTTGATGAGCAAAATGACTTTCAAAATCTAAAAGATGAATTCACTTCCAACGCATTTTCCCTGTCCCTTTAAGCCCTAATTAAGTGCAGCTACGTTTTAGTTATAAGCACCTTTTTCAGCTCACCAGCATGCAGCACTCTCACCTCAGCCCGTCCCTGAACCCTTTCTAGTGTAGATGACCCACACTTCATCACTCCAATGAGCTCAAACCCAGCACGCTTCAATTATTCAGACACACAGCAGATAAGAGGTGAGCAGCCATGCGTGGTGTTTTCAGCAGTGGAGAGCCACAGACATAGCCCCTGTTCTGCATGTTACCTGTGAGCACCTGCTGATTGTCAGCACCACTTAGGGAGGGGTGAAGATACAACTTAAACCCCCAAATTTAAATTTTTCTGTTTGATTTAAACCCGTGAAATAACGAACTCGTGTACTCCTCTGTTACTGCAACTGTGTGCTAATTGTACATAACTGAACATCTCTACATTAAAAGAGGCTCATTCCACTTCAGCCCAGAAAAAAAACACTTCTGTCCACTGTCATAACGTGTTTAAAATATGAGCATTTTACTTGGTCGTAAAATATTTTAAACTCATTTGTTAATGCTCGGAGGTTTTCTTTTAATCAATCAGCATCATCAGCGAGGTTAGACGGTCAATAATAATTTAAAAAATTCTCTTTAAATGTAAAAAACTTCAGAGAGGAATCAACAAGGACATATGAGTTACGCAACTTACCCAAGCGCCGTGAAAAACTCATAAACTTTACACCGATCCAGGTTCAGCTGCTTAAACCGCGTCGTTCATGACTCCTGGCCACCACCACACCGTCCGCTTTATATCCCATCAACGATCGTTAACTTCGCCTTTATTTTACTGGATGGATAGTTTCTCCTAACAAAACAATGAAAGTTTCGAAAGCTTCACCCACACTCTCCGGAGCTACCGAGCGTCTCAGCAGGGGCACCGTTCACCCGCTAACGACCTGCTTCACCCACGTGCTCGTGACAGTTTATACCCAGGCTCCTGCTACATTCAAATTGCAGTTTACAACCTCCAACCTAAGTATAACCTACTGATATTCAGCCCAGTCCACGCATTAGACCGAAACCCTTTTGACAAATCTTTTGATAAATTCTAATATAATTGTAAAAGTACAATTCATGTGATCTATGATTCATACTTTATACAATGCAGAGTGATACTTAACTACAAAATCATAACAATAAGTGCATAACTGCTTTTGCCAGACAGGCTGGTCTCAGTATTTCAGACCTTCAAAACCTTGAAGGTGATTGGTTACAGCAGCAGAAGACCACACCGGGTGCCATTGCTGTCAGCTAAAAACAGGAAACTGATGCTACAATTCACACAAGCTCACCAATACTGGACAAAAGAAGACTGGAAAAACACTGCCTGGGTTGATGAGTCTTGATTTACTACCTTACTGCCTACCTGAGTATTGTTGCTGACCATCTCCATCCGTTTATGACCACAGTGTACCCATCTTCTGATGGCTGCTTCCAGCAGCATAACACAAAACTCAAATCATCTCAAACCGATTTCTTGAACATAGCATTAAGTTGGCTATACTCAAATGGCCTCTACAGTCACCAGATCTCAATCCAGCAGAGCAGCTTTGGGATGTGTAGAGTAACATCACAGATGTGCAGCTTCCAAATCTGCAGCAAATATGTGATGGTGATGTCAATATGGACCAAAATGTCAGAGGAATGTTTCAAGCACCTTGTTGAATCTATGCTAATTAACTATTAAGGCAGGCCTTAAGTCCAAAGTAGTTGAGTCTGGTACAACTAATAACTTGTGTAACTAATAACATGGCCAGTGACTATAAATATGTTCTAATGGGTGTATATGACAAGAGAAAGGATCAACAGGTGGTTTTGTTTGTTGTTTGGTTTGTTGTTCTTGTTGTTGTTGTTGTCTTAATAGAAACACCACAGCTGCTGATTTCATAGATAATATCTCTACATTGTGTATTCTATGAGTGCCTGTGGCAGAGTCTACTGAGAACAAGAAGAATATTTCTGAGCCGAGTTACTTTACAATACAATTTGGAGAAATTATGCTGCATTTTCCTATTTAACATTTTAAATCAGAGAAACTATGAAATCTCCAAAATATATTAAAATCATTAGATTAAAAATTATTGCCAGTTTCCAAGTTCTGTTAACTTGGCACCTGCAGTTTTTTAACTGAGAACTTGCTTTCGCTGTGATGCCCAAAGAAGAAAAGTGAAAAGTAAAGAAATAACAGCATAAAATTAATATAGTTGTAAAAAAATATTACAGAAAGATATATAACAATCCTTTAACTTTATTTACATCAAGCATGTGAACGTTGCTCGGCCTTCACAGAAATGACAAGAAAGTATTTAGAAACACAAAACTGTCAAGTCAAAGCTCTACAGAAGAAGCATCTCTTATAATGTTGTAGCCCAAGGAATATAATCATGTCACAAACCAGAATTTGTGTAAACATTGATCTAATTGTACATGAAAATACAATGATGCGCAACAATCAGACTTTTCCAGAAGGAAGAATGTTGTCTGTCACACAAAGAAGCAGACATTTTAAAAAGCGTTTTTATTTCATCAGTTCATCAGTTGCTGTGGACACTTGTTTCTGGTCTTCTTCATGTCTGACCATCTGCCATGGTCTCCTGGTCATAATCACGGATTCTGTTTTTAATGTGGCTCAATTTGGCTTTCAAGTAGTCACAGCGTTCCTTTTTCTCTAGGAAAGTAGGGTCCTGCGAAACATGCACACAACAGTCTGCTGATTAATGCCTGAAAACACTATTTCCAACCTTTCTTACTGATTCATTCTGTAATTGATCTGTGTTAAACATGATTTTTCAGAATTATTTGCATCAGTAGACAATTACCGAATAAAAGCTACTATTACCTGGGCAGAACACAGAACTCTAATACCTCTATGGTTAAATTTGAAAATTGCCACGATTGATTTCAGAGTGAGCAGCTGTAGAAATCGCGGTTTATACTGTCATTAAAAAAACAGAAAAAAAGGTTAAAAAAAATTGTCACTTACATTCCTTTTCTGATGATACTTCTTTACAATACTTTGAATCCTGCGTTGGTCCTATATGAATAACAAAGTAATTAATTCCCATATAAAAAAGGAAAACCGATGGGAGGTCGGTATGAATCTCACCTCTTTGCTACTTGTCTCTCGGGGGAGTCGCTCCATCATGAGATCCAGCTCTCTGAACTTACTCAGAGTAGCACTGATGTCTCTGTGAAGGTCTTTGTATTCCTGATACTGATCATTGAAAACTGCTTTGTACTTTTCCCTTTCCTCCACACAGCTGATCTCTGGATACTTGCTACAGAAAGGAGACACACAGTAAAACTGATTCTCTGTATGTTTCGAACTAATGGTGTGATTCAACTTATAAATGTTAACTTACATGAAGTAGTCTGCAATGATGTGCACTTTGGGGTTCAGATTGACTGGATTCTTCTGGACGTCATGTAGGAGATTATCCCGATTGTTATAATCTTTACTCAGCGCTTTACCAGCTTCATCATCCCTGAATGATATGCGTTTTGTTGTTACCGGTTTGAGTGGGATGGACTGTTGAAACTCCTCCTGAGGCTGAAGGTAAAAGAAAAACATCATTTGGCAAATACAAAACAAATGAACAAGATGTTCACAACACCATACTGGCATGTGCCATCATTACATGAAGGCTTTTATTTTGAAAAATAAAGCTGCATTTCTTTAATGGAACTATTATGTCCACATCTGGCTTCTCATCCTTTCTTATTTGACATTACTATACATATTATCCCAACACGCCATTACAGAAGACTATAGAGACATGTTTACTGCACAGGTTATGTGGCGATCTGCACTCACAGTAATATGGTTGTTTTGTTAGCCTACAGTGGCCCAGATGTTGTTGTCAACAGCTGGAAAGGCCATACATTGAAAACTAATTTGCTTCATTCTTGTTTTATGCTTCAAATATTTGCTGTGGGTTACTCATGGGATATATTTTGCTAAACCTCCAATCATCTGTGTATCTGATATTTCTATTTAGCTCTATCAAACCTGCAACGTCACAGAGCAGGCAGCCCTCTTAGACCTGTTTATTTGCCAGTGGGGAAATGATACGGTCATGGGAGCAGTGCTGATGTTATTTTATCATTATCAGTATTGTTACTGGAACAAAGTAGCTGTCACGATCCTGGGTCTTTTGACCCAGCGTTTTGAGTTTTAGTTTATTTTAATGTTTATAGTGTATGTTTAAAGTTCATTAGGTTGGCGAAGTTCATTTGTTTATTAGATTCCCTTTGTGTTTTGTACCCTTGTATTTAAGTTTCCCTCTAACTTCATGTGTTTCATGCTGCGTGTCTTTTGTTGTCAAGTTTGTATTGTCATGTCTGCGTCTCATGTTTCCTGTTTTATTTTGAAGGTCTATGTCAGTATAGTCAGCTTTGCTTCCTGGTTATGTCAGATTAGTGTCAGCTGTTTCCCCATGTGTTTCCACTTCCCCTAATCACCCTTGTGTCTGTTTAGTTTGTGTGTTCTGTTCATTTATTGTCAGGTCGTCTGTTGTTCCACATCATGTTTCCAGGATTTTTCCATGTTCAAGGTTTTGGTCTTTGTTTTTTGTTCAGCAGTTAATTTTCCCAGTTTAGTTCTAGTTTTTTTTCCTGTGTGCCTCTGCCTTTTGTTTTTGTACTTTTTTTTTATTTTTAAATCAGCCATATTAAACGACTTGCTTTTTGTTAATATTCAAGTTTTGGGTCCTTTTTGTCAGTCCACACCGTCTGCCTCTGCCAGACTGTGACAGTAGTTGCCCTTGTGCCAAAGATGCAGGTGATAGCTACATTTGCAGGTGCAACTCTGTTCTTTAAAATTCTAAAATACTGCCACACAAGAAATGAGCTAAATATTAACCAACTTTAACAGAAAAAACTGTAATGATGAGCAATTTACAGGTGGGTTTCCACTATATTAGCCTTTCACAGAGAATTTAACTGTACTGTATTCATGAGGATACCTTCATATATGCAGCTTTGAAATGTATTTCAGTCAGTCTTCAGATTTAGAAGACCTGACCTTGTATTTCATATTTGTTTACAGAGGAGTAAAAATCTGTACCTGGTTCTCAAAATACTGCCTCTCTCTACGTGCAGCTTCATGCCTCCACATCTTCAGACATACCAGGAAGCTTCCTAGATACAGGGCCATGTTGATGAAGATGAAAGCTGTTCCTGCCATCTGGCCACCATCAACCCGACACAGATTTGCGACGATGGGGTTAATACCTATTGTTGTGTAGCATAGCCCCCCGCGATTCAAGTCGTTCAGGTAAACTATCCCTGCTGCCATGTAGAACAGGAAAAGAGCCACGTTGATGAAGGCCTCTGTCAGGGGCCACCACGAGGAGTCGAGAAGTATAGTGCGATAGTACATTGTCATTCCCACCACCAGGAGACACAGAGTAAGGATCCATGAGATTCCAGCTACAGCTAGAATGAAAGGAGTCATAGGACCTCTGTAGCTGTACCCAGACAGGCCCATCCCATTGTTGTATACACCGTTATAGAGTCCGTAGCTGTTGGACCATTCACTGTCTTTCTGAATGTAAGCAATGACACACGCAAAAACCATTCCTCCAAATAGGAGCTGAAGTCCAGCTAGAAGCCTGAGCAATCCCGGCCATGATTTCAAATAAGAGTACTTCTGCTTGTAGACCTCCACCTTCTCAGCGTAATACTCTGCAGGGTGGATGCTGGACAGTAGCGACTCCTCTACTGGGACGTGACCAAAGTCAGTGGGACTTTCTCTTATCAAAGGCTTATGTGAGCTGTGACTGGAGCTTCCCAGAGATTCATTCCAGTTCCGACGCTCCACCAAGGGACTTACAGGGGGGCTCACTCTGGTCCCATTGGGTAGGATCTGGATACCAGTTGTGCTGGCTTCAGAGTCGCTTTCTTTTGTCCATTTTTTGCCCCATGACTGAGGGATGAGGGATTTCAATCTGTCTTTCAGGCTTCCTTTTTTTTCCTTCTCTTGCTCAGCATAAGGTGGAGAACTGGATGTGCGACCTGTGGAGGTCGCATCATCCTCACCATCATCGGTGATATTATCCGGTGTGTGAGTAACCCATACAGCAACTGGTGGATCTTTAATGGTGGAGGACCCGACCACACCCTCCTGGTCTTGTTTCATGAATGATTTCATGCTGTGGGCTGATTTTGGGAATTCATTGGAAAAATCGCAGAATCTTTACCACAGCAAGACAAAGAGAAGCTGTGTGAAAGAGAAAGAATAGTAGCATTCTACAAATAACATTCAAACATCTGTATATCAGTTTATTAGGGTAAAAATGAAGCTATATATGTGTATACATACACATATATCTATACACATACAGTGGGGCAAAAAAGTATTTAGTCAGCCACCGATTGTGCAAGTTCCGCCACCTAAAATGATGACAGAGGTCAGTAATTTGCACCAGAGGTACACTTCAACTGTGAGAGACAGAATGTGAAAGAAAAATCCATGAATCCACA